GGCGGAGCACCCTGCTCATTTAGCAACGTCAAGAAAATTTGCAGGACTCTTGACGAAGATTGCTCCCAGCACGCAGTCTCTGTGTGTTACTGCCCTTAATGATGAGGAGTCTCTCATCACTTTGAAGATCGAAGTGACAAGTGGAATGTCACTTCGCCCTAGTTGACCGTGGGGCGTCGCACAGTTTTATTCGACGCCAGTCGCTAGGTGATAGTAGGCGCAACTATGTTGAGCGAGAGTTCCCTCTTACGAGGATGACAGTGTGCCTTGCTACAGGCGCATCCGTAACAGTGAACAAACGTGTAGTGAGAATCCACTACATGCTAGAAGGAAAGCAGTACGATGATGACTTTATCGTATTAGATTTGGATGAAAAATTTGATGTCATCCTTGGTATGCCATGGCTTAGAAAGTACCGGCCATGGGTTAGCTGGCAGCATCGATACGTAAAGATGCCTGCCGTTTGTTCATCGGATGGCCATCTGATGAACGTCTTGGAGCGTCCACAAGCGTGGGGATGTACTACGAGTGAGTGCGATGGCCTCACTTGTGGTACGGTCGTTAGTACGACTGCACATGAACACAGTGTAGAAGGCCACTACACTGTGGAACCAGCTTCTGGCACCTGTGTAGAGACACAGGCTGCGCCGAAGGTTCACCACTCGAAGAGATCGAGTGGACTGGAACACGGATGCACACCAAGAAGGGTGCATCCGAGAAGAGAGATGAGTGTTGATCGGGATAAACAACACTTCACAGCAAGATCGACTGACATAGAGTCGATCGAAGAGATCGTGACTGTGGTATTGCGTCCATATTTAGAACACGTAATGAAGAAAGTTCCAGCGTTCCTGAGAGTGATAACTCCCGAGAGAGTTATGTTGAGGGTGTGGATCCCCAACCACCTGCGGATGTGTATTCCCTGGAAAGCACCAAGACAGTGAATGTCTTGGTGAATGACGGATCAAGTGTAGGTGCTTATACACTTGACTGGTGACGCCCCCGAAGCTAGCCTCGGAGGTATTCAAGTTGCCAATACTAGAATCTAAAAGATAATTGAGAGATGTGCGTAGTGACAAGATCAAGCAGATCTGCGTACTCGTCACAGAGGACGAGTACGTCGCCAATATTCGGTCGGCACAAGTGTTTGCTAAGAACGAACGGGTTATCAGTAGTTCAGCTATATACGAGAGTGACCTCGATGAGTATACTAAGATTGAGCGATACACGTGTCAATCTTGGCAGTCATTAAAGTCAAATCCTTTGTATAAGGATTTGGTGGAATTCAGGGATGTTTTCCCTGAATCCGTACCATGCGAGCTGCTCAAGGACAAAGGCACTCGGCATGAGATCGAACTGAAACCTGGTTGGAAATACTGTGTCATGAAGCAGTGGCCACTGCCTCGTGAACAGGTCACAGCGATCGAAAAATTCTTCGCCGATCGTTTAGCGGCTGGTCATGTGATGGAATCAACAATCCCACACAGCTCTCCGACGTTCTGTGTGCGAAAGGCCACAGGAGGGTGGCGGACAGTGCACGTGTTCCACAAACTGAACGCTGCAACGGTACCGGCTCAAACGCCGATCCCAAGAAAGGGTGTCATCATAGATGGTACGGCAAAAAGTACCATCTTTTCATCCATGGATTTGATGGACGGATTCTACCAGATCCTCATGCGTGAACGGGATATCCCTTACACAGCAGTGAGCACCCCCAGTGGTATGCTCTGGGAGTGGCTAGTGATGCCACAGAGGCTAAGTAACGCCCCCGCAACGTTTAACAGATGTGTTACGAATCTGTTGCGATTGGTGCGAGATTTTGCACCGAGTTACTTCGACGATGTCTTCGTCCATATCCGGTCTATGGATTGAAAGACGGACGTGGAGGTTCATAGAATCCACATCCGGAAGGTTCTTACTCTAATGCGAGAGCATAAGTTGTTCGCAAATCTCAAGAAGTGTATATTCGCAGCGAACGAAATACCATTTCTTGGCTGCATCGTAGGTGAAAACGGTGGACGCCCTGATCCGAAAAAGATCAAGGCGATTAGCGACTGGCCTGTGCCAGTCGACGTCAACGGACTTCGAAAGTTCCTTGGCTTGACAGCGTATTTGCACAAATACTCGCACAACTATGCCGAGATGACTGTACATCTCTCTCGTTTACTAAAGAAAAACGAGAGGTGGTCATGGAGCGCTGAGTGTCAGCACTCTTTTGAAGGCATCAAGAAAAGCTTGGTGCAATCGCCTGTGTTGGCAATCGCAGATCAGGATAGACCATTTCATGTGGTCTGTGACGCCAACGATTTTGCAATCGGCTGCGCGTTAATGCAGTACGACTCAGACGGGGTTGAGCGCTTCGTCTGTTATCAATTGCGTCAGCTGCAAGCAGCTGAGCGAAATCATCCGGTTCATGACAAGGAACTCCATGCCATGTAATATGCCCTGGCAAAGTTTCGGGTTTATCTCTTAGGAGATAGGCCCTTCATCGTTTATATCGAACATGCGTCGTTACGCACGGCCGTAAACAGTCCACACCTCTCGCAAAGAATGGCTAGGTGACTGTCTTTCTTCGTGGAGTACAACTTCTCCGTCGAGTATAAACCAGGACGACTTGATGTCGTCGCTGATGCTCTTTTGCGTCGGCCCTATTTCGAGCCGTCTGCTCGACCCAACAATACGGGTGATCCCACTGTAGCGACACTGACAGTGAGTGTTCCATCGTCGAATCTGCTCGATGATGTGCGAAAAGCAGACACAGAAGATTGGTATCTTCTGCGACTGATGGATTACGTAGCCAATCTGTGTACTCAAGCTTTAAAAAGCTTGTCGTCCCTATAACGCTCTTCAACCGAACGGTGTTCTGTCCGTGTTGGACTGCTGTACTCTACAGCAGTCAACGGCAACACACCTCGTGTCGTCGTTCCGGCTCAATACGATTTGCGATTGCGCATCATATATGAGTGGCACGATGCCTGTAATGGGGCAACCCATTATATTAAGTAGTCATAGTTTTATTACATAATTACATACATTAAGTGTAGGCAGTATCCGGATAGCGTCATAGTTTTATTACATAATTACATACATTAAGTGTAGGCAGTATCCGGATAGCGGATACTGCGCGTCTATTTATTATTGGTTTATTATTGGGGTGCCAGACCCAATAATTAGCCAATAATAATTAGTTCTGTATTTGAGTGGTTCCCATGAGCTAGGGAACATATTCGCACTTACTGCGAATTATAAAAACACAAAAATACAAACAGAGTTAAATTTACCTTATAAATCACAGCGCTTCCTCAGCTTAATTATTAGTGTAAGACGGTAACGGGCTCTCACCCCGTTACACCTGGTAGCACTTCGTAGTCCTTCCCATGACCAAGTTCGAGATGGATATGAGTGAATCTTCGATGGCTCCAGCAGTTTCGCTGGAGCATGCAGATTTTCCCATCTCACTACGGTAGAATGGCAGGCATTACACCGCCTCGCGGCGGTGTCTGGTGAAATCTTCGTGACGTCGCTGCTGAGCACAGCGACGCCCGAACAACGCCGTGCCGCCATTCAAGACTACATGGTGCGCGAGCTCGCCGAAGCGAACCGGCGAGTACATACTCCCTCGCGCCCCTCCCATTACGATGCAATTAAAATGGAGACGTCGACATACTCTGGTGATGGTCCAGATCGTCTTCCCCTTAATCGCTGGTTTAGGGAGATTGATATCGCCATAGCGTCAAGGTTGATTGACGCTCCGACGGCCAAGATTAATTTCCTACTGTCTCGGCTTGTTGGTAAAGCCAAAGAATGGGCTCTTGGGAAGCTCGTTGTAAACGAGTTGGCATTCCCCACGCTGGACGATATCCAGCGCGACTTACGACTGGCGTTCGAGCCCCCTCAAGATGAGTCACGCTTGCGCGCAGATTTCTTTTCACTTCGACAGGGCAAGCTGTCGATGCGTGATTACGTACAGAAGACGCGACATCTTGCTTCGTGTATCATCACGCAGCCGATCGACATGGCTTCGCAAGTTCATGTCTTTGTCTTTGGTATGCAAGAGGGCATGACCCGCTATTGCCTCACACGTGCTGAACCTAAGACTCTTGAGGAGGCATTTGCCCTCGCGCTTCGTGAAGATTACACGGTCGCATCGTCATATTTGCAGGCAGCGTCGCAACGCCCGCGTACGTCTGGCCCAGAGCCTATGGAAATTGACGTTATCGATGCATCTCGTGGTCGCGGCAAGCAATTTGGCCGCGACATTCGAAGTCAAAACACGATGAAGTGTTATCGGTGCGGCAAGACTGGCCATCGTGCGGCCGTCTGCCGAGCACCAGCGCCGGTGTCCATGAACACAGCTGTCTCACGTGGAGATATTGTGTCGTCAGTGGTCCCGCCAAAAAACGAGCGGTTCCAGTAGGTGCGGGGCGCCCTACTGGCAGTAATGGAGCCCCGAGTACTCAGGTGGCAGCTCGGGCTCCTAGCCCTAAAGTGATACATACCCACTTCAATGCCACCACTATGCGCGACGATTCGAGACTGATAATTATCAGTCTCATCGTTGCTGGAGTTAAACGACCACTTCGAGCGTTGTTGGATTCGGGTGCATCCAACAACTTCTTTCGAGCATCATGTTTGTCCCTTCTCCCGTCGACAGTTACGGTTCCAAAAGGTCCAGGTGACATCGTTGTCAAACTTGCTAATGGACAACCACAGCGTGTCCCGCGTAAAACAGTGGTTTTGCCGTACACGTTCGACGGCTTCCAAAGTAATGACGAATTTTTGGTGTACGAGATGAATTATGCATTCGATTGCATCTTTAGGATACCGTGGCTGTCACGATATCAGCCGACGATAGACTGGCTATCTCGGTCCGTCAAAACGACGAAGCGGTTACGACGTAAGTGAAGTTTTCACTCATCTGTTGGTAGCGCCATCCGATTGGCCTCACGTCAGGGTCGTGAACGAACTCGCCACGACTAGAAGTCAGCACAGAGAGAGCGATGGCCCTCTGTGTCCGGTATGTTCAGTCACACTGATAGAACCACAACACGAGGCGGTCGAACAGAGGTTCCCGCAAACCCAGACATCGGTCGAGCAGGGGCTCCCGATTCACAACGAGACGGTCGAACAGAGGTTCCCGCAAACACAGACATCGGTCGAGCAGGGGCTCCCGATTGTAACCGAGGTGGTCGAGCAGAGGCTCCCACATACATCTGAGGCGGTCGACGACGAGCTCCCGCCTCTTATCGACGAGAATGAACGGGCTGTGGACTTAAATGTGAACGACGTGGTGGAGACAGAGCTCCCACGTCTAGCGGGGGGTACTCCATCCTCCAGCGACAGCGACGTTCCAGCCTCGAGCAGTGGCTCAAGACGCAAGAGAAAGCGTAGACGCAAGAAAGGTGCACGCCGATCACCAAGACGACGAAATTCTCGCTCAAGCGCCGTTGACGATGATACTGTATTGACGGAATCCGTTTGTGCGCTTGAATAGGTGGAAGGTTCTTCACATCGTGGCCGCTACGTTGAGGTAGCGAGCCCTCCGTGCACTGTTGCAGAGATCACATCTCTATTAACCCTACCATGGAAAGATTTTCTTCACGACCTCAAGGCCGGCGACATCGAGCAAGTGTGCATCATATCAGCCGCCGAAGCAGCTAGTGGAGAAGTTCTGGAGGCTCGCCCAAAGAGCGCTGAGCCCAAATCAGCGCGCGAAGAACGTTTCGTGGCACAGTCTTGGGAAGCCCTTCGTGCTTCGGGCAACCCTGTCTATGATATAGCGCGTGAGTATACCTTGACGGTCGAGAGCGACTACGAGAACGACCTCGGTGGTCGTAAGACAAACGATCTCGACTACGTGAACGCCTCCATTGATCGACAGGGCGTTCCCTCATGTGACGCAACGCAGATACTTGGAGCTCTGAGAGGCTCCTCTCATAGCGTCCGATCCATGGTCGGATGTGCTGGGGCATTCCCCGTGCACACACCATGTCGTCCCATTCCTGCCGCATTGGTCGCGGTCTCTCCATGTGACACCGTGGACACCCTTAACGGACATGGACGTAACACATGTGGAACCCATCACGAGTCAAATGACATACGCGTCGTCGTAAGTCGCCAATAGCGTGGTCGCCATGAGTACTTTCGCGTCCCTCGATCCAGGACGTGAAGGATGCCCCTTCACGTCGACTCGCGTTCCAACGTCTGATGAAGGCACACCAAGATCGTTGCAGTGCGTCTTCAGTGTATGTGTGATTCGTTCCCTTGCCTCGAACGTTACGGTATCGTGTGAAGAGATTCTTCATGGTCTCAAGTGATTCAGGTTGGTGCGCGCCTTCAAGGCTGTACAAGCCCCACGGCTTCAAGTCGTCATCCATGGTCTGCGGTGCACGCTCTCTTCGAAGTGTCTGATGACCCCAACTGTCGTTTGGGGTCGAGTCGCGTGGGTGTTCAGGATTCATGCTGCTCAGTTGTTTGTGGCTGAGCAGATTCGAAGACCAAGATGACGTGTCGTTGGAGTTCTCGTTGGGCTTTTCGTTGGACTATTCGTTAAGAAGAACTTTCTGTGTATGGCGCTTACGTCACGGTAAGCGCAACTTAAAGAGGGGGGTGATGTAATGGGGCAACCCATTATATTAAGTAGTCATAGTTTTATTACATAATTACATACATTAAGTGTAGGCAGTATCCGGATAGCGGATACTGCGCGTCTATTTATTATTGGTTTATTATTGGGGTGCCAGACCCAATAATTAGCCAATAATAATTAGTTCTGTATTTGAGTGGTTCCCATGAGCTAGGGAACATATTCGCACTTACTGCGAATTATAAAAACACAAAAATACAAACAGAGTTAAATTTACCTTATAAATCACAGTGCTTCCTCAGCTTAATTATTAGTGTAAGACGGTAACGGGCTCTCACCCCGTTACAATGCCCCAACAAGTGGGCATCGCGGTAGAGAAAAGAATTACCTCAGGGTGAGTCGTGACTACTACTGGCCCCACCAGGATGAGTTTGTGCGGAAATTCATTCGCGCTTGCGAAGTTTGTCAACAGATGAAGCCTAGTCCTTCATCCCGTGCACCCTTGCAGCCTCTTCCGATTCCGGCAGAGTGTTGGCAGTCCGTATCGATGGACTTCGTCTTCGGGTTTCCCAAAGACTTTCACAAGAATACTGGTATTCTTGTGTTTGTTGATCGCGATCGCTGGTTCAGCAAGATGGTACATTTTGTTGCTGTACCGGAGTCAATCACAGCCCAGGGCTGTGCGCGTGTTTTCATCGATACTATCTTCCGACTTCACGGGTTACCCCGTGAACTCGTGTCCGATAGGGACTTCCGCTTCACAGCGGAGTTCTAGCAATCCGTGTTCCGTTCACTTAGAACACGTTTGACGATGTCAACTTCTGACCATCCCGAAACAGATGGTCAAATGGCAGAATTCGCCATCAACAACTCGGTGCACGCGTCTACAACGCATACACCGTTCTTCGTGAACGGCCTAAGCCATCCACGATTTCACGCCTTCTTAGAGTGTGACTCTCGTTTAAGGGAAGGTATACTCGCTCGAACAAAAACCGATCTGGTTCTTGCTCATCACCCGTCGACAACGGTGTCGACGTGATGGATGCTGATGTCGATGGGATCGATGCTTATGATGTCGATGATGACGATGCTGGCATATTCAGCATCGCCAATGACTGCCAAAGTGAGGACGATGACACCCTCACTGGTGAAAACAACGTTCTTTTAGCAGTGCACACGAAGCGCACTGCTGTTGACAAGGATGATTCAGCAGAGGAATTTCTGCTGACTCGCGAAGCGGTTGTCCGCTTCGCTCAAGACTATTGCAGATGCACTATACAGACAGAAGAGAAACGCAGGCATACGTGGAAGAGCAAATGTTCTTTCATTTGATGAAGGATAGCTAGTTTTACTGTCTACAGTAAACTTACCGAAACACGCGGTGTCAAACGTGGACAGCATTAAATTAATGTCCGGTTACATCGGTTCATTTCGTGTGTTGCGCCGAATGGGCAACGCATACACGATTGAACTGCCCCATAAGATGCGTACGCATTTTACGTTTTACGTCGGTGTCTTCGCCCGTACTATCAGTACGAGCCCGCTCCGACATGCGAAGAACACTTCCGCGGTCGAGAGCCGAGACCACCTTCGAGTGGGTCCGTTTCAGCGAGCCAGTCCGGTCGACTAGCGGAGAGACCTGTTCACGCAGTTCAGCGATGTCTCGACGAGCTAGAGCCAGCTCATCACGAATAGAACGAGTCGAACGTTCGTTCTCAAGTTGCGCGAACGCAAAACCGGCACGATCACTCGAACAATCATGCGCTAAGAAATTGTAATTATCCTTTTTAAAATCATGGTACTCGTAACGCCGAGTCCGTTCGTGATCCAGGTCATCTTGCAACTCTTCCGTTACACGGTTAAGCTCCTGAACATCAAGCTGATCTGACCCTCGATCCGGAACAGGTGTTCTCACCGCCACCACATCTTTTAGTGGACTCAAGCGGTGGTCAACGCTTCCTAGTGGGGCGTAATTTGAACCACCGCAAGGTGAATTGTGTCCGGAAGAGTTGCATCATCCGCTGGCGTGGCTATCCACTCATTGCGCGCGTCTAGCAGCGATTGGTGGCAATCTATGGTTGAAATGTCTTTTATCAAAGAATCTAGGAGCAGCGCATAAATATTATTCAAAAGGAATAATGTTCCTTCAACATCGTCCATCCCGGATAATACTGGTAGAATTTTGTCATGCTATTCAAAACTCCTATTGACACCGTTTGGTGTCAATTTCACGTAGCGGGCTACCCCGTTACATCACCCCCCCCTTAACTATCAATCACCCGTTAATTGATATAGAATTAATTGGGACAGGGTGACCACCGTTGAGTAAAGGTCACAAGAGAACTGTAATTTATAGAGCTAAGCTATCAATACAACTTTAATAAGTAGATAACAATTAAAGTTAAATTGAGATCTTAACCATATTAAATGCGTTTCTTTTTTTTACTTCAATTGACCGATTTGTTCAAGTAGCTTAGCTTCCTCTGCACGTACTCGTGTGCGTGAAGTTTCGTGGCACACCAAACAAAGGGTGCCCCGTTTCAATTTGCGTGCTGCCAACAAATTTGCGTCGAGCACACAGTCTTCCTTTTAAAGTTAGTACATCACCGCTTAACAGGTAGATATTTCGAGATGAGTTGTCTGTAAGAGGAAAAGTAGCTGCAAGGACCTCTTGCTTACCTTTCATTTTTTTGGGTAGGGTCACTCATCGCTTTTGCCCAATTTTCCGGGTTGGCCGCAAAACCTTGCGCGATCACATTGGGCGACAAACATTTACCTGGGTTGCCGATCTTATTTACAAACTACCTGCGATAAAACAATGGTATGAATGGACCTCGTTGGGTTCGTTGTGAGGCACGAATTGCATGATGAATACGTGTTCAGACATTGCAGTGGATCAACCTCGTCGAGTGTCAGGTAGTCAGTATCAATTTCCTTCCGCTATGACCGCGTTGGCGCTTGATGTGATGCGGATTCCCACATCGTTGCGTACACCTTAACCAGACGTCTCGTCTTCCTCAGCTTTCATATTAACCGGTACCTTGTCATCCCACTTTTGGTATGACGTACTCCTAGTGAATTGTCAATGAGCTGATGGTGAATCATGGGTGCATTCTTTAGTCCAAACGGAATACGGCCCATTTGAAATGTCCTAATACGCGCACAGACACAGGCACATGCGGGCACGTTCTGTTATAAATACGGGCCGAAATGCAATAGCTGCATTGAGCGAGCAAATCATTATTACCCCCAGAGTTCGGTCAACAGATCGCCGACCAGATGTATCGCGTATTTAGTACTTGCTGCGAATGAATTGAAGTCAATATACAACCGGAATTCGACCCTTTGTCTGGAACAATTTCAATGGGTGGTGCCCACGGGCCTCGCAAAAATAAAAAGGAACCCCGCCTTTAGCAACTTTTTAACGGGTTTATGAAGCTTTGCCAGATGGCGCAAATGAATTCGTCGAGATTGTAGCTTTAATGTGGCCATGGTCTTAAACATCGTATTAGCACACTACCGCGTACTCTGGGAGTAGTGGAGCGCTTTCAATTTCAGATCGTAATCCCTTTGTAATTCATAATTTCTTTGTGTTACTATAGCAGAGTAATCTACAATGTGCGTTGCGGATCAGTATGTTCAGGACATACCACATTTTCCCCCGTGTAATCAAATTCAAAACCCACACAATAATAATAGCGAGGATGCGAGTTCTAGCGCGTAGACGATCAAAGTGATATAGCCGGCTATATGCTCGAGTTCTTTAAATTATCTAATAGTGTACCATCGTCATCGATCGACGCTTTACTTAGTCGACTTGACTCGTCGGATATAATAGTTGAGTCTTTTCCGGCCTCCTCCGGGTTTTGCCATTACCTTTGTTTCCGAATTAGACAGTAGAATTAGTGTTTACATAATCATCGTCACCCCCATTGTAAGGGGGCACCCTTTGTTTGGGGTGCCACGAAACTTTACGTACACTAGTATGTGCAGAAGAAGCTATCTACTTAAACGACTCGGTCAAGTAAAGGTAAAAAGAGAACTGTATTTGATTTAGTTAAGCTATCAATACAGCTCTAATCTTCATCTAACCATGTTAAACTACGCCGTCGTATGACGACAACCTGCTCACCACTCATTGCGCGCGTCTAGCAGCGATTGGTGGCAATCTATGGTTAAAATGTCTTATATCAACCAATCTTGGAGTAGCGCATGAATTTTATCTAAAAGGGATAATGTTCCTTCAAAATTATCCATCCCGAATAATATCGGTAGAATATTGTCATGCTATACAATACTCCTATTGACACCGTTTGGTATCAATATCATGTAACGGGCTTCCCCGTTACAAAACGAATAAATGCCATGCGCCAACATAGTTCCGAAACCAACGATGTTACACGTAAGACCATCCAGCTCGCATGCGATTGGTAGTGTAACTTAAAAAACTCGGACGAGCGACCCCAATGACGTATGACCAAGCGAGTCGACGTTGGTAATTTGATAAGATAGTCAAGCCTGATCCGAACAACGGTAAGGGTTGATAAGATTTAGTCGCTAAGATTGTCAAGCCTGATACAAACAACAGAACGCTTCGCCGCACCCAGAATACGCGCCGCCATTTCAATGGTAGAGCCTCCAATGGCTCAAGCGATTCATCGTAGTAGATGGAAAAGTGATATACATCACCCAAAAAGCCTGAGTCAACTCTCATCTACGCCTTCTGTCGCCCGCATATGACAACCGCTATCCATACAAGGCATGCATTTGTTGCCGGGCACCAGTCGCTAAGATTCATATCGACCAGCGACTTAGATGCCCGGAAATTTCTTCAAAAGTTCAACCAGCGTACAGCACTAATGTACGTATCAGTCATATCGAATCAAGTAGCTCACACGACGTGGCAACCGAAGATCGACGTGCTACTACCTAACAGGCAGGTCAATACACTATTGCTGTTTTCCCTTGAAGTACTTCTTCTTCTGCTTCTGCTTTAGCTGTCGATGCTTCAGCCGGTCGGATCGCAGCGTTGACAACCCAATCTGGCGTGCCGCCAAATGCTTGTCCTCTTTTAAACTCTCGTGATTACTTGGAGAAGATCAAAGCAGAGGGTTATTTCATTCAACTGGTCATGTTCCTCGTAGTCTTATGTGCGGTCTGATGACATAGCATGTCGAAGGTTATGCAAATCGCATCGACGCTGACACCATTTTGCAAGCACAGCTCTACATCTGATTAGGTGTCCTCCATCCAGTCTTCACCTCTGGTAGGGTATCGAACAGGGCGTCTACCGATCGCTGGTAAGTGTTAGGTTTTGAGCAATCTGAGTAATTTCTAATCCTCTTTCGAGTTACTTCAGAACAGAAATACAGAATGTAGATGCTCATCGAGTTGCACCAGCCACAGAGTGCCAAGTGTTTTTAGTATCACAAAGCAGGGTGACTGGGTAAGTTGCATCCGACCATCAGGTCATGCGATAGTAGCAAACGTTAGTCCATCCCATGCGACCGAGCAGAAAGCATCAAACCATGCTGCGCTCGTTTGATCGACGGTGCGCATTACCTTAGCACGTGTTCGATAACCAACGTCCATCTTAATGGAAAGTGCTGCCCGAGAGCTCGCGAAGAACGAATGAATGACAGCGCCAACCACTTGGTCCGGTTTTGCTGCTGGTAGAAAGCGTGCCACCCTTGAGTTCTCGTTATCGAATGATAGCGTTTGGGAAGCAGTTGCCACGCTTGCATGACGGTCGGAACGGTCCGCCACTTCCTTCCGATATCAGTCGATACGGTCATCAACGAGTAATTGGTCAACTGATCGCAGGGACAACAGCTCTCTTGCCCTGTTATCTACCAACAGCTATACGAATTTGTCTGTCCTCATCAACCTACTGCGTCTTAACAGTTTCGTATTCGGAAGCTTGTCGAAAAATGAGTTGGAATACATGTTGATGGAAAGGTATCTATTTATGCCTTGGATATAGGTACCGTCGTTGTAGCTACCACTTTTCGTAGCTACCGCTGTTGTGGTGGTCACCGTTGTAGCTACCTTCTCCATAGCCACCGCTCTTGTGGTGGTCGCTGGTGTGGTGGCCACCTTCGTATCTGTCGCTGTTGTTGTTCTTGTCGTCATCGTCGTTCTTGTCGTTGTTGTTGTTCTTGTGATCGTCGTTCTTGGCCTTGTTGTCGTTCTCGCCGTCGTAATTGGTGTACTCGTTCTCTCCGTAGCTGTTGCTGTTGTGGTTGTTGCTGTTGTGGTGGTGGTCGCTCATGTGGTCCCCGCTGTTGTACTTACCCTCTCCATAGCTGTCGCTGTTTTGTCGATCGCTCATGTGGTCCCCGCTGTTGTACTTACCCTCTCCATAGCTGTCGCTGTTTTGTCGATCGCTCATGTGGTGGCCGTTGCTGTGGTTGTCATAACCTTCGTAGCTGCCGCGGATGTAGCTGCCACTGTCGCTGTTATAGTAGGACGAGTCTTGGTTCTGACTACCGTAGTGGGAGTCATCGCCATGGTGGGAGTGTCGGTCTTTGGAGTTACCGTAGTGGGAGTTACGGTGGTGATGGGCACCGCGGTGCGAGTTACGGTGATGCGAGTTACGGTGATGCGAGTTACGGTGGTGCGGACGGTTATGTTTAGAAGCGTCGGCGTGGTCGTTCGTTGGGATGACGCATCCCCAGGCCCCCGTGTGAATGACCTCACAGACGGTGTCGACTGACAGCTCGCAGTAGTCGCCGACACTGTCGCGAGTGACATTCGAGTCACAGTCGGCGATCGCCACATCACCTTTGACAGGGCACGAGGATCCGGCAGGCGACGAGCCTTCGCCGCTGCAGACGGGCCCGTCGATGCAGTAGGTGGCGTCACGCTCGACGCTGATTGGCCAGCAGCCGAGGTCCTCGTCGTACTTGGGGGTACCAGCTGATGCTGGCAACGCCGCAGAAAGACTAAAGATCGAGAAAACCAAGACTTTCATGGTTGCTGCTGGACGGTTGAATGCTGCTGAGCGAGGACTCGAGCTGTCGAGTGGTGGAGGTGGAGGTGGTGGTGACTCGCCTTTGCTGCAAATTGCAGAATGAAATGAACGGATCGTCTTCTTCTTCTCCTTGTAGATAGCAGCCCGTGGTGCTGTCGAGATGCAGGCGACAACTGTATAACGAAAGAGAACGGTGCGGATCTGGACCAAAGACCGACCAGTGCAGCGAGGTGTTGCCCCCGATGGTTCTACCGAACGCGTGTGAGTCAAAGTTTCCTCATTTTCTGGCCAAGTTGCCGTGAAACGTTGTTTGGTGGTTGTGATGCACTCTATTGTCGTGAGAAGGTCGAGACGAGTGTTTCAGTATACTGCGGCAGCAGCTTTCAGGATACGAATGAATGACTCGGGTTTCGTGACGAAAAATCAAATCGAACGATAAATTCCACCATATGGCGACAAACGGCCTTGTAGGTGGCAGTCAGAAATGCAACGATTGCTACTGCAACCGGTCTCGACGTCGCCAGACGCGGAGCAACCGGGGAACTGTGAATTATCACGGTTGCATTGCTTTTGTAACGGGGTGAATCGTTACATAACAATTTATAAGAAATTGTTAATAGAATATAACTATAAGAGTTATATTCTCAGAATATTGTCATAAGGACAATATTCTGTAGCACTTCCAAGTAGTTCCTAATTGGTTGATATAGGCCATTATATCAACCAACGAAGACGCGCCACGACAGACGCACGCAATGAGTGGTGAGCAGATAACTGATTTACACATTTGTATTTAGACATAGTTAGATGAGGATAAATAGTGATTTATTGCAGACATTAACTATTATAAATACAGTTCTACTTTTACTCTAACCAAGTACTCGCTTCTTCTTACCGTCTTCCTCTGCACGTACGAGTGTACGTGAAGTTACGAGGCACCGCCTTATTCTGTTATCAGAATAAGTAGCTTGTACTGTCACCAGTACAAGCTTCAGGGTGCCCCGTTACACCTGGTAGCACTTCGTAGTCCGTCCAAGGACCGCGTTCACATCCAACATGAATATGTTGGATGATGAAGATGACCAAAGCTTTCACGCTACGCGTGACGGCTACTCCCATTTGAGCGATGTCGAATGGGATGCGGTTGAACGAATGGGTTCGACCATGGGCATCCATGCTGTTAGCGTCATGCTAGAGGCTCTCAATAGAGATGCCCAACATGCTACTATCGCCAAGTTCATTCAAAATGAACTTGACGCAGAACGCGAGAAAGTAGCCTTGCTTCACCAACAAGGTTCTCAACAAGCAGAGTGTTGAGAGAACAAGGTGCTCAACAGTTTGAACTGTTGAGACAGCAGCAGGCTGCTGCTGGCGGGTCGATGCACTCGCGTCGGCCCGAGACTTTGAAGATTGACATCTCAAAGTATAGGGGGTCGAAGAAGACTCCCTCTTGAGATGGTTCGTCGAATTGGATGACGCCATAAGGGCGCGTCGCATCGACGACGGGGATATGCAAGTTGCATTTGCCCAGTCAAATCTGGCAGGCCGTGCCAAGACTTGGGCACTGGGGCTCAAGCTGCACGACCCATACGCGTTTGGGTCGTTGGAAGTCTTCAAGTCGCGGCTCAGACAAACGTTTGAACCGCCTAGAGCTGAGTTCAGAGCTCGAACCGAACTCTTGAAGCTCAAGCAGGGTAAGCGTGATGTGCACGCTTACGCTCAACATATACGACATCTCACGAGTTGTATAAGTTCCAATCCGGTGGATGAACACACGTTGGTTTCGGTGTTCATGCAGGGTCTTGCGGATGGTCCCGTCAAGACTCACCTGTTCCGGCTTGAACTAGATTCACTAGAACAAGCCATTTCCATTGCGGAGCAGGAAGACTTCAGTCTGAGACAGGCTCGCGCCAGCTCGACATCATATCGTCAACCGAGACGATATGACAGCGGAGGTCCAGAGCCGATGGAACTCTGTTATGTAGAGAGCGAGAAGGCTCGCTCTACAGGCTACAAGAAGTTGCAGAGATGCAACAGATGTCAAAAGACAGGACACTACGCTTACGAGTGTAGTGCCCCTCGTCCAGTGTCTCGCGACACTGGGCGTAGTGACCGTCCACCCATGAGAAAGGGGCAGGGACGAGGGTCCGCAGTTGGTGCAAAGACGCAACAACGGGATGGACCGTCAAAAAACGGACAGGATCAGTAGGTGCGGAGCACCCTACTGATCCAGCAACGTCAAGAGAACTTGTAGGCCTCTTGATGAAGGTTGCTCCCAACACACAGAAATTGTGCGTTGCTGCTCTAGGTAATGAGATCTCACTCATTACCTTGAAACTCGAAGTGACGAATAAGTTGTCCCTTCGAGCTCTAGTCGATTGTGGGGCGTCCAACAATTTTGTGCGACGCCAATCGCTAGAAGATGGTCACTTTAAATTCAGTGAATGTGACACACCTCCTACGAGGATGACGGTACGTCTTGCGACAGGCGCATCCGTAACCGTCATGAAGCGTATAGTGAAGATTCACTATACGCTAGAAGATACCCAATACGACGATGACTTTATCGTATTGGATTTGGATGACAAATTTGATGTCATCCTTGGAATACCGTGGCTCAGAAGGTACGAACCACGGGTAAACTGGCAACATCGGACAGTAACGATGCCTGCCGCTTGTTCATCAGATGGCCATCTGATGAACGTTTTGGAGCGTCCACAAGCGTGTGGATGTACTACGAGTGAGTGCGATGGCCTCACTTGTGGTACGGTCGTTAGTACGACTGCACAAAACCTTAGTGTAACAAGCGGTTACACTTCGGAGCAAAGTTCCGGCGGCTGTGAGGAAACACAGGCTGCGCCGAAGGTCCACCACTCGAATAAGTCGGGTGGACTGGGACAAAGATGTATCCCTAGCGGGGAACATCTAGAAGAGAAACAATCGATCGCTCAGGTTAAGCGAAACGATAATCCTAGATCGACTGGAGAGTCTTTCGTAGAGGATCTCGCTGTGGTTGCGCAACCCCAGCTAGAGGAAGTAAAGGGAATAAGTCCCAAGATTACAAATACGGCGGAAATAAGTTCCCCGAAACCCGCGGGAATAAGTCCCCGGGAAGACGAAGGAATAAGTCCTTCGAAGCCTGAGGGAATAAGTCCCCAGGAAATGACAGAGACATTGAATGTCATAGTCAATAACGGATCATGTGTAGGCGCTTATACACTTGATCTGATTGCGCCTCCGAAGTTAACTTCGGAGATCACTCAGTTGCCAACGCTCGAACACAAAAGGTTCTTGCGTGATCTGCGTAGTGGCAAAGTCAAGCAGATCTGCATACTCGTCGCTGACGACGAGTATGTAACCGACATAAGGTCAGCAACAGTGTTTACTGAGAACGAGAGAGTTCTCAGTAGTTCATCTATGGACGAGAGTGTCCTAGATGAAAAGACACGAATTGAGCAATATGAGTCCCAATCATGGGAATCGCTCAAGGAAAATCCTCTCTATGAAGATTTGGTTGAATTCAAGGATGTATTCCCTGAAACTGTTCCGTGCGAATTACCGAAGGATAAAGGTATTCGACACGAAGTCGAGCTTAAACCAGGCTCGAAGTACTGTGTCATGAAGCAGTGCCCACTGCCTCGTGAACAAGTACTTGCGATCGACAAGTTCTTTGCCGATCGTTTAGCAGCGGGCCATGTGAGGGAATCAACTTCCCCACATAGCTCTCCGACCTTCTGTGTGCGAAAAGCAACAGGAGGGTGGCGGTTAGTGCACGCGTTTAACAAATTGAACGCTGCAACGGTACCGGCTCAGACGCCGATACCGAGGAAGGACGTAATTATTGATGGTATGTCAAAGAGTACCATCTTTTCGTCCATGGATTTGATGGATGGCTTCTATCAAATCCTAATGCGGGAACGGGATATACCCTATACCGCAGTTAGCACGCCTAGCGGCATGCTCTGGGAATGGCTAGTAATGCCACAAAGGCTCAGTAATGCCCCTGCCACGTTCAACAGGTGTGTATCACATCTGTTGAGGCCAGTACGAGAATTCGCGCCGAGTTATTTCGATGACGTATTCATCCATAGTCGAGCTATGGATGGAAAGTCGGACGTTGAGGTTCACAAGTACCACGTCCGACAAGTTCTTACAATCATGCGAAAGCATCAATTGTATGCAAACCTCAAGAAGTGTATATTTGCAGCAAGCGAAATACCACTTCTTGGGTGCATCGTTGGTAAGAACGGTGTACGTCCTGATCCCGAAAAGATCAAGGCGATCACCGACTGGCCCGTGCCGGTCGATGTCAAAGGTCTTCGAAAATTCCTTGGGCTAGCGGCGTATTTGCATAAGTATTCACGCAATTACGCCGAGATGACTGTACACCTCTCTCGTTTGTTGAAAAAGAACGAGAGGTGGTTATGGAACGCTAAATGTCAACGCTCCTTTGAGGGTATTAAGCAGAGCTTGATACAATCCCCAGTCCTAGCAATAGCCGATCAGGACAGGCCATTTCATGTGGTCTGTGATGCCAGCGATTTCGCAATCGGCTGTGCATTAATGCAGTACGACCTTGAAGGCGTTGAACGCGTCGTCTGCTATCAGTCGCGTCAGCTGCAACCAGCTGAGCGGAACTATCCAGTGCATGACAAGGAACTCCTTGCCATGAAGTATGCACTCGCGAAGTTCAGAGTCTATCTATTAGGAGATAGACCCTTCGTTGTTTACACTGACCATGCGTCCTTACGCACGGCAGTGAACAGCCCGCACCTTTCACAACGAATGGCGCGGTGGTTGTCATTCTTTGCAGAATACAACTTTACGGTCGAGTACAAACCAGGACGACTTAATGTCGTCGCTGATGCACTCTCACGTCGTCCCGACTTTGAAACAGTCGCGAAACCCAACAGTGAGACAGTCACTGTTGCGGTTATGACGTCCTCAGTCCCATCTACAACGTTGTATGATGATGTGAGGCGGGCATACGCCCAAGATGGTGAGATAGTGAAGTTGTTGTCACATCTCTCCCAACCATCTCGAGAATCGTTGAAACGATTGTCGTCTGCGTATCGATCTGCATCAGATCGATACACTACTCGTAACGGTTTACTGTACTATACAGCCGTTTCTGGTGACACACCACGTGTTGTCATTCCAGATGATATTGATCTGCGTTTGCGGATCATGTTCGAGATATCACGATGCTCCTATAGGAGGACATCGTGGCCGAGAGAAAACATATCTCACGGTAAGTCGAGACTTTTACTGGCCCCGCCAGTATCAGTTTGTGCGAAAGTATGTTCGCGCATGCGAAGTCTGCCAACGAGTGAAGTCAAGTCCTTCACTGCGTGCACCTTTACAGCCTCTACCGGTTCCGGCTGAGTGCTGGGAATCCATCTCAATGGATTTCGTCTTCCAGGTTACCCAAAGACGCACGCGGGAATACGGGTATTCTCGTATTTGTTGACAGATTCAGCAAAATGGTACACCTTGTGGCTGTACCAGAGACAATCACGGCAAGTGGCTGTGCTTGTGTCTTTATTGACACCATCTTCCGACTTCATGGGTTGCCCCGTGAACTCGTATCAGACAGAGATCCACGATTCACTGCTGATTTCTGGCGTTCCGTGTTCAAATCACTCGGAACGCGCTTGAAGATGTCAACATCTGATCATCCAGAGTCAGATGGTCAGACGGAACGTGCCAATCGTGTCCTTGAAGAGATACTTCGAGGGTACGTACACTCCTTTAAGAGTTGGAGTGAGTTTTTGCCGATGGTAGAGTTTGCCATCAACAACTCGGTGCATGCGTCCACGACATATACACCGTTTTACGTGAATGGCTTGCGCCATCCGCGTGTACCCACCTTACTAGAGTGTAACTCTGGTTTAAGGGGGGGAGGGACTCGCGCGAGCAAAAACCGATTTGGTTCACGCTCATCACGCTCTGACGAAGAGGTCATTGCGTTTGATGCCGATATCGATAACATCGATATCGAAGAAGATGATGCCAGTGAGAGTGCGGAAGCCCTCACTGAAGACAATGATCCCAGTGAGAGTGCGGAAGCCCTCACTGAAGAAAAGGTTGTTGTCGCTGCAGTGCGCTCACAGCACACTGAAGCTAACGAGTCATCAGATGAGTTCATACTGGCTCGTGAAACGGTAGTCCGTTTTGTGCAAGACTCCATCGCCGAAGCGGTGGATAAGCAAAAGCAAAACGCTGACAAGAATGGAAGGGCAAACACTCTTTTATTTAATAAAGGTGACTTAGTCCTACTGTCTACGGTTAATCTACCAAAGCATGTAGTGACTAACTTGGGTAGCAGTAAACTACTACCCAAGTACACCGGCTCATTTCGTGTATTGCACCGCCTAGGCAATGCATACACGATCGAGTTACCACGTAAGATGCGAACGCATCCCACGTTTTACGTTGGTCGGCTTAAGCCGTACCATCAGTACGCTGCTTCTTCCGATGAAGAACGCCCTTGCGCTCAAGCATCTCGCAGAGAGCCTTGTGCTCCCGATGGTGGGCATCAACAAGGGTCTGAAGAGCAGTTATCTCATCCCGAGACCGGTCAAAATTCACACGAGCTACCCTTAGCTCGTCACGAAGAGATGTCAGAGATCTCTCGTTCTCAAGCTGAGCAAAGGCAAACTCAGCTCGATGCTTCGAGGCAGTGTCCACCATCTGGAGACGCCTATTCCGCTCATGCTCGAGATCGTCGCGTAACCCTTGCGTTACGCGATCAAAGAAGCTCTCGGGAACACACCGATCCACATGATCGTGTGGAGAGCGTCTTTCCTCCTCCTCCACCTCCATTAGAGGACTCTCGCGGTGGCCAGCGCTATCTAGTTGAGCAGCTGTTGAACCACCGCGACGTGAACGGACGTCGGACGAGTTACCTCGTCCGGTGGCGCGGCTATCCCCCGTCCTGGGATTCTTGGGAGCCCCGCTCCCAACTGATGGTTGACGTACTGGGTCTGGTCGAGCAGTACGACGCGACACATCCTGTGCCGCAGAAGGACCGCCGGAGAAAGTCTTCCCGGCACGGTCGTAAAGGGATTTCAGGTTGTCAATCCCTTCGTACATCTCAGTAGAGACATGTACGCGCCACCACGGGCTGGTAAGGAGGTAAGCCTCCTTAGGTGCTCGTGCAGAGTTGTTCACACAACATGGGCACGAGTCTCCCCAAGAGAGGCAGGG